CTGTATTAAAATTGGTCTGCTAGCAAAATTTGACATATATCATGTACCCCTTTGACATATATTATATACCCTCTTGGACCCCGTCTGATATAGTTACACATGCATTATGCTTTCCTTTTTGTGGTTCAATGACTTAGACATTATCAGTTTCTGCTCACTTTTGAAATGTTTACTCTCCTGTTTGTAAACAACAGGGCTAATGTAAAAGACTGCAAGCAAGAGAAGCCCTGCAACAGTCGCCGCGGCTAGGGGTTGACAGACCTGAACCCAACCATTCAGAGAAACACAGAAACATATTATGCACTGTCCAATGCAATCTCCAATTTGGACATTAAATATTCATTATGTATGTTCAGTTGCATAATATATGTAAGTAATGTAAAGCTTTTTAAGTATGTGTGTATAGTTTTTTGTTTTATAGAGTGTGTAGTTGCCAATATTTTACACAACTGTAAATTTTCATTATTGATTTCATATAAATTTTCAAAGAACAACTTTTATAGAAGTTGGTAAATTCACTGGCTCTGCGATCAAAAGAACAAGTGAAACCCAACGTCACTGGCTTGATTTATATCTTATGTACTGTAGTATAAAGACTAAAGTGCACTGTAGGAATTATTTCTTCATATGATTGTATTTTTCATCATATATATGATTTACGTACTTACAATTAGCCTTCTGTCATATATTTGTAATAATAATAAACTTATCATCATTATTATTTCAGCCTACATCCTGTTTTCTATTTACAAAAATGTAATAAGGTTGTGAGATGAGCGCAACAAAGTCCTTTGTAATTAAAGCTGTCAAAAAGACTAGAAGTTTACTTGCAGTCTGCAGAGGATGTCATAAATGAAATTTACATGCTGTGGCCTATTTGCAAACATGGTAAGAGTGTGTGCTGAGTGAATCATTGGTACTGTGGTATGTAACGTTACATATATCTCCAGGACCTATACATGACACTAAAACTTCATTCTAAACTTCATCCTTGGCCTTACAAGGGCAAAACATTCAAATCCCCCAGTTTTTACGGTAATGTTACTCTATAATAACAGTACATAGAAGTCAGTAATATAAGCAAAATATCCTTCTACCCATCCTTTCCTAATAAAGGTATAACGCTAAATCGTAGGCAAGACCATCCTGAGGTAAACATATTGCATTTGCTTGCAAATGTTACCTTTCTAGTTATCAATATATTACAAGTATAAGGGGGGGGGGTAGCTTCAATGTTGATATGTCTAAAGGGGCCGACCGAGGTATTTTTAACTCCTCATCTTGTGTATTGCTTTAATTGTTTTGTCAATTCAATACAGATGATGTCAAACACACTGCAATCATTTTTGAGCCCTGCTTGTTTTAAATGAATTTACCCGTTTCTGGGATCCAGGACCAGCTGCCCGGCGGAGCCTTGTAATGTCAGTGTCCTGATCGTTAGTGTCCTGACAAACGATCCGTCCTTCCGGGCTACTGAGATGTGTCCGGCATCGTCGCTCCAGTACACATTCCCACCGGCATGGTCCAACCTTAGGCACCTCGCGCGTGCTACATCTAACAACAGATGGAGATATCGTCATGTGTTGCAGTCAGTAAATGAGAACAAATGGAGGGGATGTATTTTTATTGAAATTGCGTCGAAAACTTTGAAGATTTTTACAAATAGTGACATTTTCCTTTAAACTTGAAGGCGGATGTTTTAAACTGACCAAAACAGAAATGACGTGATTTTCCTTGCAATTTTAGTCTACAATGATGCCCCTGTAGTACAGGCGTATACATTGTACATGTGGAATTCCGTAAGGCATACTGTAAAACGATGATCAGTAACAAATGGATTGATGAATATCACCCACCACTAACAATGGTCTCCTGCCCACTTCCATCACGACGAGCCCGTTTGATGTCTCTATAACCGTACCAGTACATGAAGTCAGTCTTAGGGTCGTAGTCCACTGAGTAGACCCGCCCAGATGACATCTTGACCTCTGACCCGTCCTTGACTTCAATTTGAAATATTCCACCATTGGTAGCAACCAGCAGGAAAGGTTCTCCTATTTTTTTTAAGAAAGTAAACACGGAAAATCGTGTTTGTTCTTGTTTACAAACATATGAGGTTCACTTTGCCATTGCATGTATACATGTCGGTTTGTAAGAAATTTTCTTACGAAAATTTGAACATTTTGGACGTTTTTACAGAATCATTTTAAATACGATGTTGTCAATATGTTTGTAAGCATATGTAATTGGGCATGTGTTTATATGTTTATAAAATATGAAGTTTTATGCAATTACATATTGTATAAAGATCAGATTGTAAAACATCTTCTCCCAAAAATTCGATCATGTCGGTAGTCTATACACATAATTGTTGTATATAAGATGTTATAAATACGTTTGTAGGTATATGTAATTAAAAAAAGATGATTAAACAGTCCATGCCTGTACAACATTTAAAAATGAACGCACCTGTACACTCCACGCCTGCAGCTTGGTCGTGGCTACAGTTTAGATCGTTTATCATCCACCCTGGGTACGAGCAGTTGAACAGGCTATTCTCGTCCCCGTTACAGCGCAGGTTATCCATGTAGATTGGCCCTCTTCCTGTAAAGAAAACGACACCGATTATATCAGGCAACATTGAGATATGGCGAAGGGATGGTTATGAAATTCATGAATTTTAATGGTTGTGGTACAATGTTAAACGTTATTCCAACACAAAGATTACACAAAGATGCAATTTTCAACGACCACTGCACTGTCGAATTCATCGGGATAATGAATGACCAATTACTTCAAAATGTAATCTCGCGGGAGTTATGGTTACAGACACGTGACCATATCCACGGGACTCTACGGATGCGTGACGTAAGAAATTTATCACAAGTGTCAGGGAGTTAAAATCGCCCACATTTTTTGTTAGGTTATGACTGGAGTGCTCTGATAAATATTGCCTGTGTTAAGTATTAAACTTTGTCCGATGAGACGATATGGCCGAGTGATTCGATGTGGATGCGTTGAGAAAATTCTTACAGAGCGAGCTGGGGCGTTTTGCTTAAGAAATTTGGTCTTCAAGCAGCGTTCTATGTCACCGAGATGACGTTTTGAAGTGATTGGACATTCATTATCCTGATAAAGGCGACAGTGATCGTTTGAACTTTGGATCTCTGTGTGATCTTTGTGTGGGAAGTTAAATATTCTATCATTATTACTATAAACACAGATGAACTTTCATGACAATTTTTAATGGTTATTTATCGTTTTATGTTTATACACTTGCAATTAGGTTTAGGTGATGGATGTAAATAACGAATATCAGTAAAAAGAGCTGGCAACAAAATTAGAAAAAAAAATGTATATACACTTGTTTCTGCTCTGTCATACATTGTACCAGTTACAGATGTTGAGCAATGGAGTTGATTTGATCAAGGCTATGTGTCCTAGCGTAGAATATATAAATTAATGTAAAAATTAATATAGCATAGCTGTTGTATATAGGGTCATGTTGTTTTCTTATATTCTTAGTACATAACGGGAAAATTAGTTGAAACAAGTTAAATCTCACCTGGGCCAAAATATGCATAGTTACGAACTAGTTGGGCACTGGGGTAGCCAAGCATTTTGCAAACAACGTCTGCATCCTTCATGTCAAACTGGTTGTGACAAACTGTGCCCCAAGTCATACTGTCGGCCGGTCGGACTTCTATACGTCCTTCTTTCCTACTGGAGCCTCCGACAAGACGGATTCTGCTTGTATCTAAACAAAGGCATAGAGTATCTACTTGTCCCGTAAACTATAATGTGTATGATAAATCATCAAAATTAGCCGAAAATTGATACATTAATGCACGTAAATGCTAATGCCATCCATAAATTTACCTGCTGTGGCCTAACAAGCTTTTAAAAGACTCTTTATTATATCAAGTCAATTGCAAGGTTATCTAAAAGCTCTCTCGTCGAAAGCATCATGAACAACACTAGATAAAGTTTTAGCCAGCTCTTCTTGAAGAATGCCTATCGAGTGTGGTTTTTGGCTGCTCTCATCCCCTCTCCTGGAAGGAAAGCTGTCACCCATGGGTGGTTAGCTAAAGCGACGGTCACAACCCGCCGTGCGTGCTTTTTGTCCGTACGTTTTTTGGAGGCTACGTCTGCTACGTTTTTTCTGAAAACGTGGGGAAGGAGTGGCGTTTACGTGTCACTCGCACGGTTGCGCAAAGTGTAAAAGTGTGGTCTGCACGCCAAGTCTGGCCGTGAGCGGTTGCGTGCATCGTACGTTGCGCAAGTGGTAAGTGAGTTGTACGTGCTTACAACGTAAGATCTCTGTGCGATTGTAACTTTACCGTAAGGAGGCCGTACTCACACTTGCTTCTTCCGCACGGCACGTACGGGGCACGCGCGTCGCCCGTACTCGCACGCACGGGTGGTGAATCCGCAGACCGCACGTAGAAAAAGTTTTACATGCAATTAAAGTTCTACGGCGGGTCTGCGTGCTCCCAAATCCGTAGGATTCCGTACGGAGGCGGTACTCACCACGCACGGATGCCCTACGTTTGCCCGCGTTTTTGCATGTAGACAGCACGCAGAAGCACGTACGGGACCCCATACACATACCGTTTATAGTAACTAGTAACTAATGGTGACCACCGTTATATAGTAACTAATAAGCCAAGAGGCTATCTTCACATCCTAGGATGTGACCGTTATTAGTAACTCAGTTTCTTACTAAGGAAGTTAACGGCCGGACAGTGTTGCACACGCAGTTATATGGGTAATCAGGAGTATTTTCTTGGCGAGGTCACCTGGTAGATGACCTCTTATAGGTCGGTAATGGCCGCCATTTTTGATCTGACTCGGACAGTTTTTACTAGTATTCAGGATAAAAATAAACACCAAGGCTGCTGCCACGAGATGTTTTTTAATACTGTTAACGGAGTATTATTATAGCTTAGTTAAAGTACATGTACTTTCATGAGACCATCGACTGATGCGAAACAACGACGGGCAGATTGCCTTTCGACTTTGTGGATGGATGTTTGTTTGACCCGATCCTTCGTCTTTTCGCCAACAAATCAGTCGTCCAACTTTGATCAGGCATGTTATATAGGTAGGTATTTCTTGCCTGTTTTCATTGTACATATCGCCGTAGTTTTGAACATCTCAATATTCTTTTATTTCTAAGCAGATTCTGTGGGGTAAAAGCGAGTCAATATTCCATATATTTGTCGGGCCATATCCACTGACTAATCTCCAAGCAGATGTTTGGGGGAGGGGGCTAGACAGTATCAAATTGGCCAGTCTGGGGAAATGGTTACAGACTGGCCAATTTAATACTTGGAGATTATCCATTGACCTCCTGCTTGGCTGGCCCATTATGCGATGATTTAAACTAAGACACTTACAGGAGACCAATGAATAAATATTATGTAGGCATCCCATCGAATACTAGTATTGCCTCATTTCCCCACAGAATTTACTTGCAGGTTAAAGATTATTACTCCGTGAAGGAGGTCAGGACCTCCGGACGGAGTGTTGTGATCGGCTGATTTTTCATGTTCGCAGTCAAAACACTGGGTTCTCTTTGTGTAATCGGCACGCAATTTAATACGCCGTCTGCGGGCATGCCCGTGTTGATGCACGAATGTGTATTTTTGCCGTTGCTGCTTTCGCGGTCAATGTAATATCGCAGACGCACCCCTACAATTACGAGGCGAATTGGAATGGTCCAGAAAAACGCGTTGTTTGGAATAGCAGTGGGGGGGGAAAAAGTTCATGCAGATACGGGGTGGTTTTTATAAGTGGTTCCAGATGTTTTTGCCCATGGTTAAGAGATGCCAAGTTTTTTGGAAGATGTTCGCAGCCAAAACGCATTCTTCCGTACGTCGCATTTCTGTGTAATTTCGCATGTGGTGTTGCATTATGTCCGGGATGATGCACGTCTTTTTATTTTTACCGTAGCTGTTTTGATATTGGAGTAAATGCTTATTTTCGAAACATCCCCATTTCTTTGAAATGGTTTCGTCCGTTTATGCAACTGTTACTGCGCTAATGACGACCAGTCGCGCTGTCCTGATACACCGCGAATGTGCGAGTGTTCCCTGTAGACAGTCCCGGGAGTCATTTTTTTCGCACATTCCAGGAGCCAAACCAAAATACGTTCATGAACCGAGTACCAAAAACCGAAACGTGAAAATCGGATGATCGGACCTGATGTACATTTCTCTTTCTGTAGATTGTATACACAATACACACATCTTTAGATAATCTGGCCATGGCAGGTAAAAAAAGTAACCCTGAATCATACTAGATTAGCGTAAATGCATGTTTATGCGTTCAAAACAAGAAAAGAATTTGTTTCTCGGTATTAATCTCTTGAAACACGACGCTGAATATTGACGCAAAAATATTTCGGGCATCGCGCGCCCTTCCCCAAATCCCGCGTCACGTGTCGGCATTTCGCATCTCTGATTGGTTGTTGCGACTTAAGATGACTGAGCCGACGCGCGTTTAAACAATTTTTCTTTGTTCGATTTATTTTCTTCACAGAGAATTGTCGCCAATGGCTACTTCTTTTTGTTGCAATATATAATACTTCACGGAGAATTGTCGCCTATGCTTCTTGTTTTGTTTTCCACTTGGAGATTAAAAATTATTTTGTTGAGCTGATTTCGAGTTTGATGTTATTTACAATTGCCGTACAAAATTATATCAGATTTGGCATTATTTGATGGTTTAGATTAGAATGTGAGAATGGCAATATATTGACCTGTTAGCAAAGATAATGTCGGATGTTGTTAGTTAACATTAATATCAATACCACAAAAGAAAGATCAGTTATCCAGATGATGACACTAATTACATGTAACAAGTTACATGCTACATATCCTAAATCATACATGCATTCATTACCATATCTCTAGTAACAATATCAGTTTGAAAGTAACTTCAGTTTATCCAATCTATCGTGCTTGGGGCAGGCTGTCTTCGGGGCTCTAATAGTTTTCCCCCTGTCCAGCTCAACAGACCACCCGGTATATTTGAATGATATGCCGCACACCAGGAGTTGATTCGCCCCTCCACAATCGAGCTTCAGCAGCCCTGAAG